AAGAGGTTCTAGGGAAGACAATGTTAGCCTCCCACCTCGAGTTCAGATTGACGGTGACGAAATCGAGGTGGTCGATGAGTTCGTGTATTTGGGCTCACTGCTGACCGCCGAAAATAATACCAGCAGAGAAATTCAAAGACGCATTATGGCAGGGAATCGTGCCTACTTTGGACTCCGGAGGACGCTCCGGTCGAATAAAATTCGCCGCCGCACGAAGTTGACTGTCTACAAGACGCTGATTAGACCGGTGGTCCTTTACGGCTACGAGACCTGGACTATGCTCGTGGAGGACCAACGCGCCCTTGGTGTTTTCGAACGGAAGGTGTTGCGTACCACCTACGGTGGAGTCCAGATGGATGACGGAACGTGGAGGAGGCGAATGAACCACGAATTGCACCAGCTGCTAGGAGAACCATCCATCGTCCACATTGCAAAAATTGGGAGACTACGGTGGGCTGGGCACGTCGTAAGAATGCCGCACGACGACCCAGTGAAAATGGTTCTAGAAAGCGACCCAACAGGAACAAGAAGAAGAGGCGCGCAGCGGGCAAGGTGGATCGACCAAGTAGAAGGTGACCTGCGGACCCTTCGCAGACTACGAGGCTGACGAACTGTGGCGATGGATTGAGTAGAGTGGAGACGACTTCTTCGGACAGCAGAGGACAACAAGGCCTTAGCCTGATTGGTAAGGTAAGTAGGTAAATAAGTGTGCGTTTGACTAGTACTGTCGCATTAAGGTGATCCCTTGTGAAGTACACAAATGGCGGCCACGTGGGCTATAAATGCACTTCTACCTCGAATTTTCAATTACACAAATCTCGGAAATTAAAGTCCCATTTCACCTGACATTGCTACTGCATGTATGCTGCAGCGCAGGAAACATAGAGTAACAGTTTCATTGTAGTACGTGTCGTGGAAGCTGATATGTGTGCACTAAAAGTTTCGAAGTAGTAGCGAGAATAACGATCTCACAGCCAGAATTGGTAACGGTCAGTTTGGTCAGTGACGTTTGACGAAAACCAAAAATAAATTGTCGCGGTATAAAAACCATCATTTCCATACATTCTTCGTCATTGACGAAGAGAAGTCGACAGTAATCCATTTGAACAAATCCTATCGCATCTTTTACCTTCACTTCTCTTTTCTGTATCATGCATGGACAAAAAAAAAAGCAAATACCGTCGAACGTGCATGTGACCAGACTAGTAACCACACTATGAGCGCTTCTTGTTTTCCTTTAGCCTATCCATTCTCCCAAGCGTTGATAGACCAGTGGTAAAAACACAAGCCTGTTAATCTCAACGTTGGTGGTTCGAATCCGTTTTGCACCCATTTTAAGTTTTTTTGTGTTGCTTCCAACGATCATCATTTTTTGTCAAACAATACGTAACGGCTGACTAAAACGTGCAGTTTTTAATCCTCTCCGAGTAACCGACCGATCTATGAGAGAGAGAGAACGTACTGAGCTAGTTTTTTTCACGACGTAAATGAAAGAGGACTGTCTTCATACGGAATTTGTCATGCGCTGCTTGGAGTGCGACGAAGATAGTAATACAATATTTTTCATCACTGACTTTGCTCTCTCTACGTTGATGCAAGACAGACATTTTCAACATCTATTTAATTTTCATACTGCCGTACTCTAGCGGAACTATCTATCTACCCTCTTCAGACTATTTTCTAGCTAATAAATTATCACAATCACACTAAAGCTTCATGTTACACTCAAAATAATTATCACATATCTAATGGATGAAATCCATGTGAATTTTACATAGCTTTCCTGTGATCACATAGCTGCAAATCCCATCACAAAATCACATGAATATTATAAGGCCGATGAAATTCATATGAAAAATCATATAAAATTAACGTGATCGCATGTTTTTTATGTGAAATTCAGATGAATTCAATTAATATTGATTATGGATGAAAATCATATGCGTTTCTAATGGATGCTACATGAAAACTATTTTCGGTGTAAATAGCATTTCCAACATACTCTGAAAATCGTAAACTTCACGTATGAAGTAACATAAAAACACTTTGAATGAAACAGGAATAGGTTAGAACCAGAGTTCGGTTGATCTCACACCACCGTAACGCACCCTTACGAGGCGATCTACCCGCGTTACGATTACGGGTTAGAATGATTGATTTTCATACATAACCAAATTTGCAAAAAAAGCTACGCTTCATAATCCTACGCTAGCAGAAAAGAATTGTGTGTAAAAAAATGTGTTTAGGAAATAAGAAAATGAATTAGGCTGATACAAACTTAATTTTGAATCATTGTTAAAAAGCTTCAAAAATTACAAAATATTGAAGGGGCAAAAACTATATATTCAAATAGTCTTTCGCTGTGCGCTCATCTGAAAACTTGACAAATTATTTTTATTATTTTATTTTTATTAACTAATTATTAAATAAGTTGTTTATCCATTCATGTATTTTCCATCCCTTGTTATTCATACTCTAGGCTTGAACACCGGAAGGTCTCCGGTTGACATCACGAATAGCTAGAACACCGGACGGATACCAACTGACATCAGAAAAGTCTTAACCATCGGTCGGGTTCCGCCTGACATCGGGAACGGCTTGAACATTGGACGGATTCTGGTTGCATCGGCTTTGAATACCAGATTGTTTCCGAATTGCATCGGTACTTCGGATTCCGGTAGACATCGAGACTTTAAGACAACTTAAAAACGTAAGGATAACGAAGGATATTTTTCAAATACGCTGCTCTTATAAGTCAACTTTTCATGAATATGATGTTCTAACTTCTTTGTGTGTTACTTGGGCTTCAAGATCGGCCGACTAATCGAACCACGGTGCGAGAACAACGGTATCATCATGGGCTTGGTCTTCAATAATTCGGTTGGACTATCAACTTCACGGACTGCATCAGGTTTGGATTCTTGATCGACTTCGTTTCGGTGGTTTGGATCGGGGATCGTTTCACAATTTCCACGCTTCACTTCGGCATTTCGGATCGAGTACGACGTATGCTGCGGTGGCAACTCTATCGTCGATGACATGGCAGTAAAATAACGTTTGGAGCCGGACCGGGCTGTCGAGTCAATAGTTGATTTTGGACGACCCAAGTAAATGGTGTGCTTGCGGTATACTACTGATTTTGGACGACCCAAGTAAATGGTGTGCTTGCGGTATAATACTTCGATGATGCACCCAACCGAGAAATGTAAGATTCTACTATTATGTGTGGCAGGATAATTTCTCAAAATGAGATTACGCATATTGATTTAACATACGGCGGCTCTTTATGCAGGATTCGCTCCTCAAGTTGTGTAGAATCCTTATGTGCGGGGTTGCAGCGCGCTTCGACCATCACCAAATGAAAATTTAACACAAGCGTGACAATACAAGATCCAACACAGATTCATGTAGTTTACCACCTCTGCTGCTGAAAAACTGTTCCGAAGAACTGGCGAATCCAATTGCTCACTTATTCAATCAATCGCTACGTGAAAGGACCTTTCCAGCGGCTTGGAAATCTGCTTACGTTGTTCCTATACACAAGTCAGGCAACTGTAACCAGGTGACAAACTATCGCGGAGTATCTATTCTTTGTTGTCTCAGTAAAATATTTGAAAAACTGGTGCACAATGTTTTATACAACGTAGCGTCTCCGATTATCTTCGAAGGTCAGCATGGCTTCATGAAGCATCGCTCTACAACAACGAACCTCATGTGTTACGTCACCACAGTGTCCCGCGAAGTAGAAGAGAGGCGGCAAGTTGACGCGGTGTATGTTGACTTCGCGAAAGCCTTTGATACCGTACCGCACATTCAGCTCATTGAGAAACTGAGGCACATAGGTTTTCCAGATTGGATTACGGAGTGGATTTCTTCGTACTTATGTGATCGTACCGCATATGTTGTGATCAACTCGGCTCGTTCCCGCTCTTTCAACATCACGTCTGGTGTACCCCAAGGAAGCGTTTTGGGACCACTATTATTCAACATTTTCATCAATGATCTGTGTTTGCGGCTTTCCTCGTTCAAGCTCTCATTCGCTGATGACCTTAAATTCTATCGTGTCATAGCTTCTCTCTTGGACTGCTTTGCTCTGCAAGAGGATATCAACACTATGATGATATGGTGTAGCGATAACGGCATGCGAGTTAACAACAAGAAATGCAAAATTATTTCTTTCAGTCGCTGCAATAGCCCCATTCTGCATCAATACAGGATGGAAACGGCGGAATTAGAACGAGTTTCGTCCATCTGCGACCTCGGTGTTACCATCGATACGAAACTAAGGTTCAACGAACACGTGGGAATTATGACTGCCAAAGCTTTTTCTGTGCTGGGATTCATCCGTCGCCATGCGTCCGAGTTCACCGACATTTACGCGTTAAAAACTCTCTACTGTTCGTTGGTTCGTAGCATTCTGGAGTACGCTGCTCCAGTTTGGGCCCCTTACTATGTAGTTCATGTTCTTACCATTGAACGGGTACAGAAAAGGTTCGTACGTTTTGCATTGAGACAGCTTCCCTGGAACGATCCGTCTAATCTTCCTCCCTATTCTGACCGATGTAAGCTCATAGGATTGGAGCCACTATCTACCAGACGAGTTACGATGCAGCGATTATTTATTTTTGATGTCATCGGACGATTTATTGATTGTCCTGAACTTCTCGCACAGATCCCACTAAACATTCCTCCCCGACGGTTTCGGAACTCACCTTTATTAGCAGTTCCATACCACAGAACAAACTACGGATACAACAACCCGTTCGATTCGTGCCTTCGCTCGTTCAATGTTGTTTGTGACGAATTTGATTTTAATTTGACCAAAAATGTTTTTAGAAATAGGATTAGAAGCAATCTTTAGTTTATAAGAAAATAGTTCAGTCTGTACGACTAGTCGAAGACGGTGATATATAAAATAAAATAAAATAAAACATATTTACATCCATAATTCTCATTGCAGAGGTTCAGCCGCACAAAATATCTTGTCTCCGCATAGAGGACCAGATATTGGAAACAGAGAGGAAGAAAATGAAGCACGCCGCACAACCCGATCCTAAGACAACTTCTCAGCAAAATAAATCGGCAAAAGACAAGAGCATAAAAAATAATAGGTAATCATGGTGTGAAAGGATTTCGGTACGCTTCAGAAGTTTAGCAACGACACTACTTAAAATCCAATAAAAACGCATAAAAGCTATTCTTTTAATATTTTGTTTTAATTCACAAATCGCTTTATCCGTCATAGGTCTATGTTTTTTTCCTTTTTTTTATTTTACTTGATTAGAAGCTCTCTCGCTCTCCCTTTCTCTCCATCTCCCCAGCATGACTCTATTCCTATTCGTTCAATACGCTTTTACCTTCTACTAATTCCTTCTCAAATATGCCACAAAAAAGAAAACCGTTCCGTTTTCGCTACTAATTCCGCCTACAAAAAAAGTCCACGATCTCTGAATCGATCCGATTTCAACATCCACCTTCTGTAACCGTTTCGTTTCCAGTCACAAATGAATTTATACAACCGAATATCGACCATCATGGTGTTACATTACCCGATCCTCGTTTAATATAAAGTGCTAACGATTCTCCGTTTTCGTATTCGCCGCTTTTATAGCATCATTGATTTGCTCGTTTCTAATGACATTCCGTTTCGACCTCATCCGTGCGCGTTATCACTTTAACGGATGTGGTTAAAGCGTCCTTTTATCTCTCTTATATACTTTTTTGTTTGTTTTATACTTATATTGAGTTGTCCGTGTTTCGAACACGCACTGATGAAAATGTTTCGAGTTTAGCCTACGGTATGTTTGTCGGTGATTTGTTTGTATGTAGATGTGTTATGTTTATGTGTATGCATGGTAGCTGGATTTTGTTTTATTCGAACTGTTATTTTTTGTTTGTTTAATTACAGCTGATTTTTTTCATGTTTGGCTTTTACACGCTAATTACGATTTGGTATAGTTTGATGTATTTGTCCTAACTTTTTTTTCATGTCTATATATTATTTATTTTATACGACGTGTTCCATTATCCGCCGTTTTTTAATGATTAAAATTCAATTACTATGGTATGCACAATTTCAACAACAAAAAAATGGATTATGGATGTATTCAAGTTTGGATGGTACACTAATTTGAAAAGTTATGACAAAACGATGAATTGGGTTTAAAAATGCACTTTCATTCATCTGTACAGACATTTTTCTTGATGATGCAACTTACACATACATGAAACAATTACAGCGAAAGAGTGGCATTATGGTGATATGGACGTTGTAATACCATGTTATAGGGCAGATTACGTCTTCGTCAAATTCCTATGCCTATTATCGTAAGGGGGTAAATAAAGTGGTTGTGTGCTCTTTTTTGTCCAAAACAAATTGGCATTCAAATACTTTATTTAAATAACGAAAAAAGGTATGGAAAATGGCGAAGGTGTTACTTCTCCTACATATTTGAAGAAGGTTGTTTATGAATATTGTAACTAGGTATTTGATGAAGCGGTAGTTAGCGGTAGCAATTGTATGATACTTGATGAAAAGCTTCAATCTAATCGGATTATAGACTTTCCGGTCCAGAATTTAAAAGGTACGACAGCTGTGTGGAAGAGCTCAAAGAACACTAAATTTAAGATAATACTTAGCGGAAATTTATGTTTTTCGATCATTTTGAATGCATTGCTTTATTTCAGTGTTATGAGAATTTAGGAATTTAATTTAAGTTCATCTGTCGTTGAACTAAAGATTATAGTTTATATGTTTTGTTTCACACATTTTAGATCATCCGTGACTCGCCCGGGGTGAGATTTGAGCTCAAGTCTTTCAGCATGAGAAACATGGATGCTAACCATTTACGCCAGGCCCGTATTCAGTTAAACATTATGAATGCAAAATCAGAAATCAAATTGATTTAATTGAAAACAAGATTAGTTTTCCGTTTGATTCAACAGTGTAAAATTTTGCTCTCATTTTTGTTTTGTTAACCGTTAAGGTGAATCGCTCTGACATCCTTATTCTCGTAACCACTTCGAAACTTTAAGTGCACAACTATCAGCTTCTGCGACACGGGCAATATTTAAATTGTTACTCCACGTTTGGTGCACTGCAGCATACACGAAGTAGCAATTTCAAATTAAATGGGGCACTGATTTCCGAGATTTGTGTTATTAAAATTCGAAGTTGAAGTGCATGTATAGCCTACGTGGCGGCCATTTGTGGACTCTATAAGGAATCACCTTAAGTCAACCAAAATGAGATCAACTGGAGTTTTCAAAATAAGTTACATCATAACAGCACATTTTGATTTTGATTTGATCTCCAGCTTTGCTCGGGCAATCAAAACAGTTTCCATTAATGATCATACAACTGCATACGCATTTTTATATATATACGATGGATCAACAAGCTGGATGACAACATGCATTTTATGTTTGAGATATCAGAGATTAAATACAGTCCGAAACTTGCTGGCGATTGTACCTTAGCGTTATTTAGTCTGTATATAGCAATAGATATGATCATGTGATGTTCAATGATTATTTACGATGACAATTGTTCTGGAATCAGACTTATCGTGACTCGTGTTTTTCGCATTACTCCTCTTCTATAGCTACTGAATTGTTTCAATTGAATTAGATTCATTGTTTCTTTTCCGTTCGTACAAAAGAAGGCGTCCGCAGAAATAGCAAACTCGCTTGTTCGTTTTCCTGTAATTTGAGTCTACCAATACATACATAGTACGCTAGATGCTGTCTGTAACCGTGTGAGTTGCTTTTCTCTCTCTATCTCCCATTTTGACTACCACTTACTGTTAAGCTGTTATTATTACTAATTTCGATTCACAATTAATTAGATTAGAAATATTTTAGCGCCGATAAATTCTTTCTTATTGTTTCTGTTATGTTTCAACACAAACGTTCCATGTTGTGCTTTTTTTTGGGTATATCCCGAGGTCTATCCTTATGGCATGAGTGCTTTCGAGAAGGGATGGTTTGAAATACATAAGAAAATACAGTTTTGTTTCTATGATAATAGGGATGTCGTTGAATGAACATATAGATGAGTCGAGAATTTTTTTAACGTTCGGTTTTCCATGAAGAATTTTCGCGTCACTTTTCAATAGGTCTACATTTATCGATTCTGTTCATCGACTTTCACTTTCGTTAATAACTCGGCAGCAAAAAACATTATGTTTAACGTGTTGGGTGCTAAGTAATAGAATCTTTTATTAAAATATGTAGGTAGTGAAAATAGCACGAAATGTGTTTGTATGGCCGTGGTCATGCAAAGAATCGAGCAATTAATGAATTGAAGAATATTGTTGGTGAAAATTGGCTTTAAGGTATGTTTTTAATCCATCACATTAACTTCAATCTACCTTTGCAACTAGAAGATTATATGTATATTTCAAACGATTAAAAAGTAAATATGAGTATAAAATAGGTAGTTTTTCTCTGCGCAGAACATAATCACTGCGACCAGCACAGTGCAGTGGTTTCCAGATCGTACATACGGATTTATTTGATAAAGGGGAATAAAATAGCAGCCAATAACAGATTCCAGATGGGGAATTTCATAAAAATATTTTATAACTAAACCGATCCAAATTGAATATCAGGTCAATTTAGTTAGACATGATGAAGATCATTTGAGAATCCATGATTGGTTTCCACAAAACTGCAATTATGTTTAGGTTTCAAAGTGACTGATCGCGCACGGGCTGGATCCTATTTACGTTGTGTTTACGGAGCACTACATAAAGTAAAACACGACCGTTGGATTGGCCGTCCTGCCATGGCGGCGGCATACGAACTATAATTTTATTTCTCAAATACAATACAAAAAAGTACACAACAGAAAGAGACACTTGTGACTACTACTGTAGCGACATCTGTGTGAGGATAGATGTACCCCTTGAGCTAGTAGGATAGTTGCGCATGTACTAGACGTTTGCACAAACAGTGACTGATGAGTGACTCTTAAGGCCGGCGCACAATACATACGTTTTCGGGTTTTTTGACAGATAATGCACGGGCTAACTGTCAAAAAACCTGAAAACGTATCCATTGTGCGCCGGTCTTTAGCATTTGAAGTTTTAAAAATGATCGAAAATTGAAAGTATACCAGAATCTTCATTGATAAACGGCTAGACAATAAGTACCATTGGTTCTACACGTACCTGCAGATATTTAATAGACCCCAATTAGTGGTCCTTAGCCTATTGGTCTGTAATTCCTATCCCTATCATACGAGTAACCATAAGAAAAATCGGATTAACAACCCCGGTGAGACCTTAGTTGCATGGTGACAGGAAAAGAGGGTGGCTCCTATTTTCGAACGGTGCAGCTTATACAACCTGAGTGGAACTCTTAACAGAGCTGTGCACACACGCTTTACTGAAAACTTTGATCGGGGCATGGGAATTATTTTTTTCTCGATATAAGAAATACAAAATCACCAAAAATGTCAATAATAGTCTCAAAATGACGGTAAAGAGAAGTTCCATCTTTAGAATGGTGATGTTTTCGGAAATGCCTATTTGTATGTTTTAATGTTGTTGGTGTCGAACTGCATACCATCTAAGGTGGAGAAGACGAATGTACCGCGAATTGCACCAATTATTGGGAGAACCACCCAAACCGCAAAAATTGGGCTACTACGGTGGGCTTAGCACGTCGTAAGAATGTCGAACGACCACCCAGTGAAAATGGTTGCGTTGCGTATGTAACGGAGTAAGTCATGGATTGCATACTGGCAACTGTTATGTATCTACTTTACCATTCTGATTATTCTGATTGTTTAAGGAAAACTATTTGGGAGTGAATACCCGAGCAAAGTCCAGCATCAAAATGACAGCAAATTGAAATCAAGTTTTGATATCAACATCAAACTGAAATCATAATTTGATTTCAGTTTACGCAATTGATAAATTTGATACCAAATTTTGTTTTCATTTTGCTGTACATTTGCTTTTCAAAAATATGTTGTTGTGGGTTTGTTTTCATTGCCTTAACAAAACATCAAATTGAATACTTGTGTTGTTATCAACAGTATAAATGGATATCAAATTGAGTTTTCAGTTTGCTCTCACTGATAGCAGAAATAGTTTTCAATGTGATGTCACAGGAAGATTTTTTTTGCTCTCAATTTTGAAATTTTAACTGTTAAAAACACCCAAAACGAAAGTAACCTGAGTAATCATTATCAGCGAAATCACAGCATCAAATTTAGATTTCAATTTGATCTCAGACTTTGCTCGGGTAGCTCTTCAATCAAAGTTCAGAACATGAAAAGCATGAAAATTGTCATTGCTAGTCACGCCCATCTTCTCCGTTACTGTGGAAAGGAAGGATATTGTTAATGTAACATAACTTAAGGGGAGCGACTCACCGACGTCCCCATAGATGACGGCAATCCGGTGAAAGTGGTTCTGGAGGTAGACAAAGATGCACGCAGCGGATAATGTGGATCTGCCAGGTAGAAAACGACGTACGGAGCCTCCGCAGATAGCGGGGCTGGCTACATGCATCATTTTCTTAAAGCACGAAAGTCCGAGAATATTCGTAATTTTTCCCTGGATCTATATTTCTTCAAGATTTAGATTTCTAAAACAGTTTTATTCTTGCACTATCTCACATTCGGGCTAACGGTGTTCGGTACAGTGAACGTAGGCCTAATTGCATTCGGTTTGATTCACTAATACCGGTTTGTTCGGTCTCCGCCGAAAGTCAACCGAACAGCGCTTAAAAAAGCAACGAAGAGTGGAGCAAAATCCAGCAGAAAGAAATCCACCAATCAGCGACGACCACATAGGTGTTAAAAACTTGGCCTTTCGCGCCTATCTTGAAAAACGTTATAATAATGCACATTTCAACATTTTGCACGGAAAAGTATGGGAGATAAATTTTAAAACGCACTTATTTTTCGAATTAAGTACTAAAGTACTGATTGCTACTACAGTGGTAGATAAAAAATCGAAATCTACCTAACTGAACCACCTACCTAACAATTAATTTTCAACCGTGAACAAGTTTGTATCGCAGCAGCAGGAGAATAATATTTACATGTTGTAAATATTAGAGAAGAGAAGAAAAATGCAATAGTGTAGCGTAGCTGCCGAAGTTCAATTATTTCCCTGGCTCGGAGCAACGTCAAACTCCCAGTTCTTTTGAGAACTCCAGGAATTAATTTCGAATAACGATTGCCTCCTCCACTAACATCGCAGTATAGTCCACTGCCGAGAATAAAGCCGCCCTCCGCCGGATCACAAGTCACGAAGCTTTCACCGTGAAATTTTACCCAGAGACGTTCCTATCAAGGAGGGATCGGGATCGTTCCACGGATTCGACGAATGGGAAGCCGAGATGGATGAACCCACAGCGAATGAGTATCGGGGATTTGTATCTTCCAGCGCTTCCAAGCGAAAGAAGATAGTGCGAATCAATGGGACACTGATCAACTCGTCACTTGGATTGGCACAGCTTAATGTATTAACGACGTTTCCATTGAACTACAAGAGTTGTTATTGGAAGCAAAAGCCAAAGCTGCCCAAAGCTATGATCCATAATGGAAGCTACGCCGCATAGCCGAAATTCAAGGAAATACAGACGCTATTCTATTGTACCACCAAGGCCCTCATTGGACAAGCGAACTTGGATGCCAAGATTATTCGTTTTAGCACTCGACAGTTCAATCTGTCAGTCCTGGGAGACAACGCAGAAAAAAATGAGGTTCCCAAGTACGAGGAAACCATCACAGAAGAACGTGAAGATACGCTGTTGGAGTTTGTTTCAACTGCCTACGGCACCGACATCATACGTTGCTCCACGAGGACGGAGTACCCAGCCGAAAAACGAAATCTAATATAATGAGAGAGAGAAGGATTAGTATTTTCCATTTAATTCCACTACTTTATTAGCTTATCCTTGACAGATACGCGTATTTCGTCTACAATGTGCAGACTTCTTCAGTGTCTTGTACTAATACTCGACTAGTACAAGACACTGAAGAAGTCTGCACATTGTAGACGAAATACGCGTATCTGTCAAGGATAAGCAAATAAAGTAGTGGAATTAAATGGAAAATACTAATCCTTCTCTCTCTCATTATACAGGTATTCCACTAAGACGCCCACATTCATCAGGATTCGAAATCTAATGTTTCCCTTCCCATGGAAATAGTGGCAAGCCATCCATCAATTCCATTAGCGTCGAACCAATCAAAAAGATTTCAATGGGTATCCACATACTGTTCGTGCCACGTCGCCCGGTACTGCTGCTTACTGCGGAGGTGCAGGTCCTCAACAGAAAGATCAGACACATTCCAGACGTGTCGTCATGTTGGACAGCGGATTCCAAGTGAACTTCGTGACCGAAGAGATGGCCAACCGCCTTGACCTCCACAAGCATCAAGCAAATGTCTCGATTACTGGTTAGGTGACAAGGTGAATAATGATGAATGCTTAGTTGCGCCACAAGTAACAAGTACAATCCCTTCAGCGATGATCGTTACACCCCCGACGGAATTATTCTTGCTGATTCCGAGTTCCACACGCCTGATAAAATGGACATGCTGACCGGTGGAGAACTATTCTTCGACATCATGCTGAAAACAAGTCGTATTAACATAGGTTATGGTTTGCCAGAGCTACGAGAAACGTACCTTGGGAGAATCGAGTCTGGTGTTGTAAAAAAACGCGTATTCCCAATTAGTTTCCCCAGCACTCAAACCTAGTCCACGTCCATAAACCAACCCAACATGAACAAACTTACGATAAACCGACCAGTATCGAGAAGGAACATGACGAGGAACGCACCATTATACTACCGAACACGAAAAGATTGGATCCAGTAGCCGACACAAAAGTCATCTCCAACCAACTGAAACAGTTACCCATGCAACCACTAACCACGATAGTTCTGGAGGTCCTAAACCTTTGGAAAAACAGGACGCATCACCGATCATTGAACCAACGGAAATCCACGACTGCACCGGTCCCTCGAGTCCCTGATGGCATTAGATCTTGTTGCCAACAACCCGAGGCACCCTTCCGATATGTACTGACGGATTGCATCATGTCCGAGGTCAGACCGATCTCTCGCAACTATCATTTACGAGACTTCATTTCATCATCCTACTGGACAGGAATCTGGTACTATCCTGTTTGGTTCTGCAGAGCTATTCCAAGTCGAGTGGCCCGACCTGACGAATACCAATCAAGTTGGAACACGCCTGCCGGCAGCAATCGAATTATCTTTTCATCATTCAGATTCGCCGAGTTCAGCGTGTTCCACGCTGTGCCCTTCAAGATAAAGGTCAGCCGTCCACTATGGCGACGACGGTTCTTTCCAAAAGGCTCATATTTTTGAAGATGGACGGTATCGACCCCTAATCCTAGAAGTTATTATATCGTTTGGCATAATGGCCATTTGGCATAAATGCGGAAAAACTTTACTTATACCGAACGAAAAATATATATTCTCTTTAACATAAGCTGTTATTTCTCATTTGAAGCCTGCTATCAACATTAAAACATACATTTAGAAACACTATACCAACAAATTCAAAATTATATTGGCAATTCCAAAAACAGGTTTATTTATGTAATACAATTAATAATGCAAACTTTGAAGTACATATTCAGAGCATTAGGGGAACTAGGGACAACTAATATTCAGTGTTGCATGACACTGAACGATTAATACTTAATGTCCCATTGCAAGCAGTTTTTGAGTGCTGATCAACATGGGTTTACTGTCGGTCGCTCTACAACTACCAATCTGCTGTGTCTCACATCGTATATAACCGAAAGCATGTCGGATCGGGTTCAAACGGACGTTATTTATTCAGACCTATCCGCAGCATTCGACAAGTTGAACCATGCTATTGCGATTGCTAAACTCGGCAGGCTCGGTGTATGCGGTAATCTTCTGAGTTGGTTTCGATCATATCTTACCGGTCGGCAATTAAAAGTTGCCATAGGAGATTGCAGATCAGCTAGCTTCTTCGCCACATCAGGTATACCTCAGGGAAGCCACATGGGACCGTTAATTTTTATACTGTACTTCAACGACGTGCATCTGGTCATCGAAGCTCCTCGGTTATCATATGCAGATGACCTCAAAATCTTCCTACGAATCTGCTCCATTGCTGACTGTCACTTTCTTCAACGTCAACTGAATGTATTCGCTAGTTGGTGCAGGTTAAACAGAATGGTAGTGAACCCAGCCAAATGCTCCGCTATTACGTTCTCACGAAAACAACAACCGATAATATTTAGCTATGACCTGCTTGGCTCGACAATCGAACGCGTGAATCAGGTGAAAGACTTGGGTGTGATCTTGGATTCGCAGCTTTCTTTCAAGCAACACATTGCATATGTTGTTGATAAGGCGTCAAGAACTTTAGGGTTCATTTTTCGGATAGCTAAAAACTTCACTGATATCTACTGTCTAAAATCTCTCTATTGTTCGCTTGTTCGATCGACGCTTGAGTATTGTTCAGCGGTTTGGAACCCAAACTACAACAACGGTGCCGAGAGAATTGAATCTGTTCAACGTCGCTTTCTTCGTTTTGCGTTGCGTAGATTGCCTTGGAACGATCCGTTTCGATTACCAAGCTACGAAAGCCGTTGTCAACTTATCGACCTAGAACTTCTCCGGACTAGAAGAGACACAAACAGAGCCCTTACCGTGGCCGATATCCTACAAGGAAGGACAGATTGTGAGGCTATCCTGAGGCAAATTGACCTGAATGTTCAACCCCGACCGCTTCGTAATAACCTTATGCTAAGACTGCCTCTACGTCGCACAAATTATGGAGCGTACGGTGCGATTTGCGGACTGCAGAGAACATTCAACAGAGTTGCATCTGTTTTCGACTTTCATCTCTCCCGTGATGCGCTTCGTCGAAAGTTTTCTTCTGTTTTTCGCCGGCAGGAGTTAAGATATTGACTATAAGATATACGTTTTTTAATGTTTTTTATGTTATGACCATGCTTGAATGTATTTTTTTTTACCATAGTTGATAAGGTTTAAATCATTGGGGCTTCATCCAGCCTGTTGATGTAATTAAATAAATAACAAATAAATGTCAAACTCCTTCATGATCGACAACACCTCATGCCTCGTGACAGACCAACCCTTTGATTATTTTGGGAAAATTTAATTTGAAACCCCAGTTGATTTCTACGCAATTATTTCAAATCATTTGTATCGACTTATCAACCCGAAAATTGTCTGACAGTACGCGTCTTCCGCTAGAATGACATGGTAATTTAAAAATTTATTAACGCTTCCAGATTGAATATATTCAGAAATCAATAAAAATCGACTCATTAAATTCGAACGGCATTAAAATCCCCCACTTTTCAAAAACGAAAACCATGGATGACAATTCCATGTGATGCTTTCTGGATCGGTGGTAAAAAATGCCTGACTTTGAAAGTTGAGTGCTTGAAAATGATGAGAAAAGAAAAGGAAAAATTACATTTTTAGACACTTTTTTTTTAACACTAGCCCGAATGTAACACTTGCTCTAATAATAATGTTAGTAGATTTTACTTCTTTAAAACATGAGCAGTTCTTTCGAGATGTACTGTTACTGCACATATTCGCATATCACTCCCATCTTTGCTTGATTTTTTATCCATATGGAAATGTTATACATACCCATGAGTGTACTGTGATTGAAGTTTTAATTTGAAAATTTCAGATTTAAAAAAATGACTGGTAAAAAGTTTGAGTTCTAGTATTTGAAAGTTTGATAAGAAATCAGAATCTATTATTTTAGAAAAAAAAATCCTTCTTTTAAACATCAGCAGTTCTTTCTAGAACTTTGAAATATTTCAAATGTTTAGAATTTGAATGTTTGATGAGAATTTTTTGAACATTCAAACAATACAGAAATTATATGAGTTTTCTTCAACTCAGACTATTTTCCAACGATTCGGGATTGCGTTACATTCGGGCTTAGTCACGTTCAGGGAAGTGTCATTTGGGCTAGTGACTTTCAGACAAATGGTATAGAATCGTAGAAACTATCTATGTAGTTTCCCCGAAAAACTAGAACTTCGTTATATGTATGAGCCTCTATTCGAATGCAAAAGCACAAGTAGGTTTAAAATGCAATTAAAAGAATGACAGATGTTATATAGCTTTGAAATGCTGGCCGGATTATGACTTTTGTTGTTTATCCATATACTATGTTACTCTGCACTGTGTTTATAATATATCCATTCATGTACTATTATGTAATATTAATATCTGGAAGCTGCACCGTAATGTTTGTTTGAAATTGTTACAGATGTAATTATGATGATTTCAGTTGTTGTTTTGTTGCTTCTGTTCTTCTTATAGTTTCGATAAAGAATTTGTGACTGGATTTGCCTTCTCTGCCCATAACATACTTTCAGTTGGGGAATAATTGGGATCGCTTGGTTTGTAAATGCATATACCAAGGTTAGTGGTTTCATACCGTTTGCTAGAATACACACATCCATTCGATTCTGTCTCGTCACAAGATTCTGATTATGCTTCTCGAGTATATTACTTTGTCTTCATTACACTAGTCAGTTTGCTCTATTCGTGATCTTTTTTTCTTTGATTTGTTAGAATTTGTCGTATTTCTCGTCTAAGATTTTGATAAATAAATAATTAATATTAATTATCAATACAAGATTTTATGAAATATCATTTCAAAGGATGTTCATTTACTTTCTGTCTTGATTTACGTCTCTTTTTAACTTAAATTTATATGCGTATGGGTTTTGCCTTTTATCTCACATAAACTATAATAAAAAACGCACTCTTACCTGGCTACCAACAAACGCGACGACGATTGTTTTGCCGTATAGGATTCTTAGGTACCGTTTGCCTTCGGCAGTGGTCGCACCAAGTACAGCTTTTCGCCTTGCTTGTTGGTGTAGATAGGTGCTCTTTGGTAGTGGTCCACTAGTTGATCTAGTGTGTGGAATTTCCGCTGTCCGATGCAGTACATGTTGCCTTCCACGTGCACGCGGAAGTGCTTGTTGCGTCCGGGCGCTTTCAGTGATACTGAGTAGTCACCGAGCTGCAAGTAGAAAAATAACAGATGGTACGGAATGTGAATTTAACGTTTTAAAAATAGATGCAGTGGAGTTTAATAATGAAGATACTTATCCCTATTCCCGTTTTCAAATTAATAGGGTACTTCATACATTGGCATAGCGGGAATATAGGCGGCCAGGCTACTGGCATGAACACGGTGCAAATATTATTTCAACGAAGTTAGTAAACATGTGCCTATTAGAATCTATATCGGGGCCTCCCTTAGCTCAGTCGGTACAGGCGCAGCTACAAAGGTAGACCATGCTGGAGGTGGCTGGGTAAGACTCTCGCGGTCCGATCTATGAGTTTTTCGAGTTGGAAAATGTCTCGACTTCCCTGAACATATAGAGTATGATTGTACTTGCCACACAATTATAGTAATGCAAAATGGTACAGGCATTTAAAGCTCTCAAATAATAACTGTGGACGTGCATCTAGAACACTAAGTTGAGAGCACGCAATAAGCTAATAGGATGCTGCACGCTTACGTCACGAATGAACGCGATGAACCTGCATTCATCAGTTTAACATCCAGTGGTGGTTTGTTTACCTTTGCTTGTTTGTCGATTCCTCTATACCTCTCCAAAAAATCTAAAAAAAAACATTTAATATTTTTTTTCCTAAGTCCATGTAAACAAACCACTGCCAGATGTCAAAATAAGTGAGGTTAACCAGACGGTGCAGCTCCCTATATACGATAAGCAATAATACCCCGTTCACATTACAGCCTATATCACGTAATATAGGCTGTCTTGCAATGAGCACTCATACATAGGATTTCCAGTGAAAACTAGATGTATGAGTGCTCATTGCAAGACAGCGTATATCATGTGATATACGCTGTAATGTGAACGGGGTATAAGCTTGAGATGCGAAGATCTATTAAAAAAAATTAGATCTTCTCTGGTATAATTAAATACACATGCCATTATAAAAATGTAGGAGACATGAATAAAGGGTGTCCACGATAAATCTGTAAATGGCTCAAAATGTTAACCCTTTGAGTTTAATACCCCGTTCACATTACAGTCTATATCACGTAATATAGGCTGTCTTGCAATGAGCACTCATACATAGGATTTCCAGTGAAAACTAGATGTTTTTTTTTTTTTGTTTATTAATTTATTTGATAAGGCTCAACCGAATTAACTTTACAGAGCCGAGGATTCTTGGTCACTATACAATAAATCTTAAAACTATAGTCAAAAGGTACAACACAATAAACACTTTATCTTCCGCTATCCAAAAAGCCTCCTCCATCAGTACTGGAGCCGCTTCCAGTGGTTTCATTGTATGGCAAATTGTTGTACGCCAACGAGGGTCAGAGCGCGTCCATTGCAGCAATGGACGCAAAACGTGGTCAGCACTCACACACTCATCACGAAACGGTTGCTTTCCAAAGTCGACGACGCATCGACCGAAAGAACTACTGATGCAGAACAATGAGAAGGACCACACAATGGTTGCTGCCGAGTAAACAGACGATCGCGTAGCACACATCGAGAGTGGCCTGCTTCTGTCGACAGCCGAGTGAACACTCAGAAAACTAGATGTATGAGTGCTCATTGCAAGACAGCGTATATCACGTGATATACGCTGTAATGTGAACGGGGTATAAAGCTTTTAAAATTTGATTAGAATCAGTTCAGTACATTAGAATCGATCCTTCATCGATGTTTAGGGTTGGTTTTTTTCTGATTTCCTTCAGGAGTTTCTTCTAGCTACAACCGGAAGTTTCTTCTGATTTTGTTATTGTGCTGCCTACCGATCTGCACTTAAGCCAGGCATAAACCTACGGAAATTTAGTCGTGGCCTATGCTAGACCGTATAGCATAACGACTTTCCTTTCACTAGCAGGCTTTTTGGTCCCACTAGCGTCCGATTAAGGGATAGTAAGAGATTAAAAGAATAAAGAAGAGAGATAGAAGATTTTGTTGTTTAGCTAAAAAAAAAAAAAAAAAACGCCGGCTTGTTGTGCAACATCAGGTTTGTTCGCTTTCATTCCGTTCCAAGGGGCAACTCCATCGTCGTCGTACTCAAATACCTGGGAACCTCCAGAGGTGCACAGGGCCAACGTGAAAGACTTCCATTCTGGGCAGCTGCTTGACCTGGGCCCAGCTCAAATTCCTATCGGCTTGCTTAATTTCCTTGTTGACGTTCCGCCGCCTTAGTATTTGCCTTTGCTGCGATGTTCTGGCGGATTTAATTCATAATCAAACGCTTGCCTGCAGACTTCGTTTCCCTAATAAAATTGTTATGGTTATTTTGCTTAACGACGTGTTCCGGGTATCATCCAAACCATTTGTGGAATAGTTCTATTATTTGGGTTGTCGTTCGTTTATGGTTATTTTTTATAAGGGTTCTATTGCTATCGGCTTCTGATGACATTTACATCTGAGATCCATTTGTGAGGCCACCAGCCACAAGTTATATACCGCAGGCAGCGGTTGATGAGACCTGCAGCTTTTGAGAGCTCTCCACTGGTGCTGCACAGATTCCACGTTTTAATCGAAGTTTCGAATTTTGGGATAGTAAGAGTGTAAATGTCATATTATCACCGACCTTATTACCACAGACAAACAGACATAACACATTGAATATTTCTCAATGTAAAACATCGTCGCTAAAACATTACCGCCATCTGTTGAGTACACTGTGGTGCGTAGTACGCTGAACAGATGGCGGTAGTGTGTAAACGTCAAACGCAAAGGAATTGACTATGAGCGCCACAGGTGGCGGTACTACCAACTACGATACTTTTGAATTGACCGTTAAATGCTTGTTCGATGAACAACTTGCGAGTGTTATGTCTGTTTGTCTGTGTTATTACCATCACCTTAGTGTGTGACATCAGGTGTACGCTCCTCTGTGTTTTCGTTACCAATGCAGTTAATTTGACACGTTTGTTGTATTTCCGTATGTCTTAATATTATTCTTGCTGAACCACCGTCAAACCCACTATCCAGAGGCAGCGAACCACCTTAACACCTGAAATTATACAAAAACAAATTAAACATTAGCACCATAGCGATGATACTGCAACCGTTGGTTGACATTTCACGATCCAGGAAATTGCGTCACCTTGCACTGCGAAGACGTAGCCCGTCTTCGATTTCCTGCGGTTGATTAGATACACCGAATACCGCCTCGGCCCAAAACCTTTTGGATAGATTCAGCATGCTTCGTACTTTGCCCAATATATCATCCGCTCAGCGATCCCATTTTGCTCGGGAGTATATGGTCACGATTTTTAATGTCGCACCCCGTCACGAACCATATTTGCCTTGAATCATGAGTTCACGTACTCACGACCGTTGTCGCTACGCCAGATTTTCAATTTCTTGTCCGTTTGACGTTCCACCATAGTCTTGAACTCATCATATGCTTCCAACGCTTAATCTTTTCTCTCCAGCGTGTAAATGACCACTTTTCTTGTCGCATCGTCAATGTAGCTCATAGAATATCGGTTGTCGCCAATTGAGGGAACTTTAAACAGTCCGCACAAATTCGTGTGCATCAACTCGAACTTATCTTCGGCCCGGCAACGCATTCCAAATCATCGGTGTTTTTGAATTGGATTACATCCGTCAACCGTTGGAGTTTCTTCAAACCTTGCTTCTTCAGGTGCCTCTGGCGCTTCTGCCACATCGTCATATCGGTGGCTTTGTAAGCTCTGTCCACTTGTCGTCGATTGAGTCGGTACAGTCGTATTTCCGCAATTCCTGATGCGAAAATTTCGCCATATTGCGACATCCTTCCTTCATGAACAGTCTCAAATGCCTTGGCACAAATTTTACTTACAAATAGCCCAAATAGCAGGTGGTACCTCCAGTACATCGTGCACGGAAACGTCATCTTCAACGCACTTCAAGTTCACCGGCCCTTTCGCTTTCGTACGCATGCTTCCTTTGTTTGCTGTTCCGATTTTAAACGTCGTTTCTTGCTTTCTTGTTCTCGAAACTCGATTCCAAACGCGAGTGGTTGCTCCGGAGTCGAAGTACCATTCTTCCTGCTGCACATCACCGATTGCAAACACTGCACACTTTGCCCGATCTTTGTTACGCTTAAGTAACAAAGATTATATCATTATTGCTTTCCACTGCTGAAATAGCGTTATTATTCAGCATGTTGATCGTTTGTCATTTTACCATTTGGAGATATTTTTATTCCGTGGGCATCAAGCTGGAGCTGCATGACAGCATAGTTTTCAAAACTTAACCCATGTGAATAAATTTTGCTTCTATCTTTCGAAAAAACAACAGAAGGTGTAGGTCGCAACTAACACCGTTCTTCTAGTTGCGTACTCAGCAGCTTCAAAGCTGTATTTTATTATTTTTGTAAGTGTTGATACAAAGGTAAATTTTATACTAATTATCTTAAAATTTCAGTGTTCTTTTACAGGTTATTTCAGGTCAACGTTTGCCATGGAAGGACGATTCCAGTTCAATCTAACAGTAAGTACAATCAAAGATATTATTTTATTAGATTAGGTTACGCGACAAACAGTTATTTTATGATTTCAGGGAGAACATACCTCAATTCTATCTAAATTTCCACTTACTACGTGGCAAACTCAATGTTTAGGTGTTGGGGAGCCCTGTGGGTTAATGACAACAACAAAAACAAGTGAGCCAGTTCGAAACCAATCGTATAATGTGGTAGATAAGCAGAACAAAGAAAGATAAATAAAGAACTTTTGTAACTTTTGTATGCAATAAAAAAACACGTTTTCGTTGAAGTGATCGGTCGCGAGTTTTGGTTCCTTTAGTGCTCGAAATTCCAGTCCAAGTGAAGGGCCCTCCATATTTCATATTGAAAACAAGGGTGGAATAATATCGTATTGTTATGTTCATTCGAACAGTTAAAATGACGTTTACTACCACTTGAACTTTGAAATAAAACATTATTTTGAGATTTTTTCTTCTAGAAACACGGGAAAAAAGTAGCCAACATTTGTGCGTTTCATAAAAAAAATATAAAAATTAGTCGGCCCAGTTTTGTGAAATCACTGGTAGAAAGTCACGCCAAAACTACTTGACAAAGTAGTGGTCAATTGATTCACCACCAATTCGCCGCAACGAGGGGTATCGGCGACAGAAGGACTAGCCTATGTTGGAAGTTTGAACACCGTTGTCGGTGGTTTGAACACTGATTCTTGTATATTGTTTCAAGATAGTTTTGGAAAAAGAATGCTGTGACGTGAGTGCGTATTAACGAGACAAAAGATACATCCGCGTAGTGTTCCGATTGATTCAGTTTTGAATTGTGAATTCCGTAAGCTCCGTAGACCATGTTGAAAATACACTTGACAAAATAGAATAAACGTATTAACGAGTCAAAGGATACGTCCGCGTAGTACTCCGATTGAATCAAAAAATCTGTTTAAGTATAAAATATCTAAACTACTGTCACTAGCAGCTAGAACTTTGGCTCTCTCAAGCCATGGTTCATCAGAGACGGAAGGCTCACTAATCCACAACGCCCGCTCATGACGGCACACTGCCACGACATGAGCTAGAGATGCCGGTTATAAACCCACCGTCTCCAACGCTCCATTATGAATGATTTGAGGATAAGCCCTCCCACCAACGTCAAGGTGAAAAAACTAGACATGGGAAGCTTCGACGATCCAGACTTTTTCAAACAATTTGAAGTGTAATGGACCTGGCTTGTTGCAATTAAAACAGCAATCGTCCTTGGCCTGCTCTTCGGTTCCTGTTTCGGCTTCAAATCCTACAGGATCTTCGACATCTGATGACAAAGCTTGGCCGGACGCTTCCATGTCCATCACCATGGGAGCATAATATTTCGGTAGTCCCATCAACAGTAACGATGCCAACCAATCGTCACTAATAACAACAAAATTCAGTTTGTAGCTCGTTGAAACCATGGCAACCACGTACGCTTCGGTAGTTTGGAAAATTTCTAATCGAATCGAAGTAAGCTGCTGCAACAAACTGATCCGCCTGTAGATTCCGTCATCTTGAAAAGCTTTCTTCAGCTTGTCTCAAGCTTCTTTTGCATTCTTTGCGGTCAGCATCAAGCCGTAGTTGGTCTTCTCCAAGCTGAGCGAATTTGTTTTTGATTCAATTCCAACCTGGATCGGGTATCAAGATTGTGTCTGCTTCTTGTCTGTCAAACGTCAGTGTGAACGTTTGTTTTTGTAATCTGACTCGGGTTGAGGTTCGCACTGACAATAAGCTCGGGTTCACACGGGTTGGAACCCTCTTAGGTTGGAACTGGTTCCAACCTGGATAATAAACAAATTCGCTATGAGACAGCTGGTGGCCAACGCCTTTTGCTTCGTGTCTTCATCCACGACCTCGCCATCACACGGCTCCACCGCGCTGCAAGTATCTTCTCGGATCAAGATCATTTTCATCGCGAACGCCCACGTTACATAATTTTCTCTTCCTTTCAGCTTATGTACCGCCAAGGCGACGCAACTTCCAGCTTCTCCACCTCCTGTATTTGCCATGATGGAAAGAATTTCACGATCGCTTCAGAATATATTCTTTTAAAGAAAAACTACTTGAAAATCTTCTGGTTATGCCCGTAGCCCTGGGCCCATAACCTATCGGAATTAAAAAGACGGCTTGATAGGATGAGTTAGTATAGTGGAATGAATAAATTTTATTTAGCCTTTAATTATCATGGCGATGGCATACTAAATATATAGCGGATTACTTCGATTCCAATAGAATACTTAATATTGTTTTGCCTCAGTGTAAGTAGAATTTCGCTCGTTGGTCTATCTTTAAGTGAGCTACGTTTTAGTTAGGCTGTTGCCACCTAAATCAAAATCTAACTTCATTTCTGACAGTGCTGATTCCTTTCCGAGGGGCTTATGAATGAACAATTTTCCTTAGGTCTCCCCGTCAATAAAATGTGTGGAGTTTTGGTAAATATAATGGGAAGATATTGGATGGATTTCCTGGAACTCTGTCCCGATCGCGAATCAATTGAAAAAAATTCAACGAAAATAGGTAGGGTATAGGTGAGTTAGTAGTGCAGGAACTGTGCAGATTTAATTATTAAAAAAAAAAATAACTAAACGATGTACAAACAATTTGTATACGAAAATCTATAGCTTTCAATCTCTATTTTACAATAAAAATGTTACATCGTAATTAAATTGTATACATTTTTGGAAAACTTGTCCTTCATTAATAAGAACACTGTTCCAGTAGTAGTGGTAGTTGCTAACTTTGGTTCCTATAATAGTGGAACGCATTGGTTTCTTATAGGTCCACTATTATAAAAACACAACCGCAACTATAGGTGCAAAGACGTCAAAATCTTAAGGAAAATCATTTGTTTTCCGTCATTTTTTGCCTAATTTTAAGTTTAAAAAAAATGCAAATCTGCTTTATTTTAGGATAACTACTGATGGAAAAATAACCTTATCCGGGTTTCCCCCATTATTCCGGCACAACCCCTATACCGCAACTATAGGTACACCACTATTACTGGAACACCTACCCTACAGAATTGTTCGCCCCATTTGTTAGTTTGCTTTTATCTAGCGTCCTGAAGAAAGCCCTTCCTTATCGGAAAAATGCCAATATGTGTGTTCAGTTAACTGGTATGGTATTAGTTGAGACTACAATACTTACATTCGTTTCACTATCCCGAATCAGGTAATCGCCATCATGGCCATGGGTGTTCAGTACTGTATCACATTGACTTCGAGTGATAGCACCGTAGTACCAGCTTTTGCCCGTCAGCGGTGGTCGGTCCAGTTGTTGTGAATTGTTATTATTACTATTGGCGGAATTGGAATTGTTGTTGTTCGACTGCTGATCGTTCGGTCGTCGATCCAGCGAATCTGGTCCGCTGCCATTGTTGCCGCGATACGGTTGCGCCAAATACTCGGACAGTTCCTGGAGATAGTTTCGGGGCACCAACCCGATCTGACCGTTGTTGTTGCGGGCTTTGTACCTAAAAAAAGAAAGTTACATTTCAATTGTCGCTGTTTATATACGAAAGACGACCGTTGATATACCATTCGGGGTCAGCTGCAGGTCGTTCAAGAATTTCCAAACGGTCTCCCTTCTCGAACGACAATTCCGTGTCATTGTTTGAGTTGAATGAGTATAACGCTACTACAATATCTAGCACATTTTCCGCCATAGCGTACGTGTGTACGGTGTCGTCTTCGGTTTCCTCTGTCGTATAGTTACTAGGGAACCAACCGGTAGCGGAACCACTCTGGCCACGCCACCAGCCATCGTTGGACTTTTCGAGGATCAATATTCGCGTTCCCTTGATAAGCGACAGCTCGTCCTGCTGCTGTGCTTGGTAGTTATATTTTACTATGGCAGTTCCTATAGGAGTGGAGGCTGCTCGATTGTGTTTTTATTTGTGCCAAGTCACAGGTATGAGAAAAAGATTAATAAAATGAGTTACAAGCAGTTGATGAAGAATCTTCATACACAATTTATAGTAAACGCCAGTGGTTATAATGTTCTCTTAAATTAGGATTTTTGTTAGAAGAATAAGCTTCGTCAAACCACAGATCGAGAAATAATATCAAATAGTAAACAGAATTCTCGAAAAAACTACAATTACAAAATACAAAGGGATATATGCACAATTGTACAAGCTCTACCCGTGCATCACCTTGAAAAGTTTAGCATCACCCAAAGAGAATGTGAATACGTGGGGTGGCGCTTATCTTTTCTAGGTAATGCACCTGATATTCAATATGAGCGTTGTAATACTTGTTCAAGCGATTCCATACTTATGACGGGTAATGTATACTGCGATTCATAAGCATACAACAAACAAATTGACTAAATATTGCATATTGCCCAACAAAAAAATTATTCAACTCACCAATCGCCTCCGATGGATCAGGAGGTAACCTCCTGCTCATCGTGGGACTGTCGACTTGTCGCGAGGGAGAACAGTTCGGTAGTGTTTTGCTGCCAGAAGAGCCCTTTTTCACCTTCTTTTTGAAGCTATCGAAGAGAGAAACCGATTTCTTTTCCTTCTTAACATAATTGCTCGGCACATAACCGGACTGATTGTGGGAGTTTTGGACGCGCCACCAGTGCTTACTGTCGTCCAACAGCAAATAACGTTCGTTTTTCCTTAGATCTAGCTCTTGAGCACCCTGTGCGGCATAATCATACTTAGCTACGACGTAGCACACATCCTCTGAAGATAGAAAAACACACAATTTAAAAACTGATAGATGCAAATGAAATTTTTCATTGAATTACCTTGCTTAATGGTTCCTGCCATCGGAGATTACAAATATTACAGCACCTACGCTTGGTATCGTAAGCAATACCTCCAGATCCGGATACCAATTAGTGTGCTAAATCGCTTACAAACTAATGACTAAACGGCTTCTATTTTGGGAGTTATGCCACAATTCTGGTTCCCGTTCGTGTGTCTCTATATGTATACGATAATACGCGCCTTATCGCGGTATTCTCTTGACGTCTCAGCTGTTGTCCACTATATGGAATGAAGGATCCTTAGCACGTGATATTTGTTTTCTTTTTCTTCTCCTGCTATCGACCCACAACTGCCGGCGGAGAAAACTGTTTCAGAGCAAGATGAAGACAGAAAGGATGCCAGAGGCCGGCAGAGAGCGTCGGAGGACAAGCGAAGTTAAGTCCCTCAAGATTTATATATGTTGAAGTACGATGCTTTCCGAACCACGTTGGGATTTTCTTCGCGATACCATTGTATAAGATTAATAGGTCCTTGGCGCAAAGGACGAGTTGAGTAGAAGGTCTAAAAGACAAGAAAAAAATAGCACAATATGTAAAACATTAATTGCGAACTGAAAATGATAATTGTTGGTTTTTATAGCGATTTCATTTAGTGAATTATAGGATTTGTTAAAGAATTGCTATTTTTGATTTCATAAAGAGTAGCAGTAAACTTCAGGGTGACAACTGAATTTCCTTTTCCAGAATTCCAGGTTTCTCCGATTTTCATGGTCAACATTTAAAAATAAATATTACTCAAAAAAAGGAAGAAACACCTTAAAACACCAAAATGACCTTAAAATATTCTTAACTTCTTAAATTGCTTTATAAACAACAACTGACTTATAAAACACAATAATGGCTATACATTTTGAAACACTGAAACTTTCATAAAAGCTTGGAAAATGCTGCACTGGTCTCAAAACTGCTCAAAAGAGAATAAAACATGCTATAATCGCTGAAAAAGACCAACAATGGCCTTTTTACAATTAAAAAGGCTAAAGCCTAAAAAATTTAACATGGCTTAAAGAACGCCAAAATGGTCCTAAAAATACCAAAAGTACATTAAAACACCAACATAAACATATGATAAATGGTGATAGCAAAGGAGTTCGTAGGGCAATAGGGATTCATATGGTGCCGCGGTACCACGATCCAGATATTCGCGATTCAGCAGGTTTTACAGAAATGTCGCAAATACAACGTGCCGACTAGGATGGGTTAGCTTTACAATGTCCTGCTTATCATTGCACAGTGAGCCATGAACAGGGATGGAAAATCATTTATGTACATTCATTTCGTATTACATTCATTTCGTATTACATTCATTTGCCTCTATCTTTTTTCATCAACAGAATACCGTAAAATGATGTATGAAGCTTTTGTATTTTTGTTAATAACTAAAATCTGAATCTCTTATGCATGACAAAATAGAGCTGGCAGAACATGTTATTGTTTTTCAGCAGTGGCATTTCCTTAACCTTAATCTACCTGTGCACCAGCTCTCAAAACATAAACAATTATCAAAATATTGCTTGCAATGGATGGATGTCGAGTAAACTAGAAGATTAAGTGTATTTTTCAACCGATTCGAGTAGGAATAAGGCATTAAATCTGGTTTTGAAAGTTGGTGTACAGGTAAAAAGTGAGGTTACGGGACGCCACTGTTTGCCAGTGAATGCAATTTACATTCACTGAAAAACAATTTTGGGTTCTTATCGCTCTGATTCATCATGGATAAGAGATACAGATTTGAGTTGTTCACAGCAGATGTAGCTAATACCAAAGCCTACAAAAGCTTCAAACACTATTTTACGGAATTCTGTCGATGAAAAAAGTTAGAGGCAAATGAATGTAAATGAATGCACGAAATGAATGTAAACGATTTTCCATCCCTTAGCGTTAGCGTTAGCGTTAGCGTTGTTATGATATACTTCGTAGATTGGATACTAGCGACACTCACGTCTCTTCTAAAATTCTCAGTTAGACTACTTTCAGGAATAATGCTGGGGAGTAAACATTGGTTCCAATCTAAACAAGAGTAACAGAAGCATGACTGTCGCTATTCCCGGCCACGCCCATCTTTACCATAACTAGGGATAGGGAAGGAAATGTTGATGTAGTACTTACTTAACGAGAGGCCACCGACTTAGCGACACCCTCATAAGTGCTACGGAGTTGGAGGGTTGGGTAGGGTATTCGGTTAGGATTCACCTCAAGTTGGCGATGCAACCAAAAGTATTTATTGTTTATTTGTTGTTTATTTAATCTCTCGATAGCCGGCTATCGAAAGAACATATTCATTTTGTTTAGTGATCATGAATTTTAAGAGTCATGACGGAGAGCTTGGGATTAAACCCATGATTTTCTGCTCAGTAAGCAAACACGATCCCTCCAGGGTCATCGAGCATCTCAGAACCATAACGCTTCGCGACAATACAGGGCTACGTTTTCGCTTGATATGCAAATAGTTTCCGAGGTTAATATTCAATATCAAATATACAAATGATGGTGGCGATTTATTGTGCTGTGGAAGAGCTTGGGATTAAATCCATGATTTTCTGCTCAGTAAGCAAAATCGATCCCTCCAGGGTCATCGAGCATCTCATAATCCACAGCGCTTCGCGTCAAAGTACAAATATATGGATGAACTATCTATTATTGAATAACTATTATTTACGATAATTACATGAAAGAAATAAAATATAAACTACAAACAAAACGTGACTACTAAAATCTCAAAAAGATATTCTCACAAATATATTTCACGCAACCAAGAATTTTAAAACCATTAGACGCTATAATGATACTTTGCACATGTTAGACACAAGAAGAGGCAAAAAAACAAGCGTCCGACACACAAAATCCGCCAAATCCACTTGCAGTCACAATCAACGATTCTACGAATCGCGAGCGCTCGCGAATCATAAAACCGCCGACTGCGGCACTCTGAAATCGAAATTGACAGGCGCTATGCGTCAAACACCCGCCCTCCAATCTCCTCCCGCATCCAACATCACAAATCTCCATTACAACATCTAACGAATTCAAAACTCCGAAAATCACTCATCTATAGCAAGTGAGTGGAAGCAACACTGCATGCAACCATTCTTCATGATACACTTTTTCTGCCTATCTTTCTATTGGGCCTGTGGACATGCGTTAGCTTCGAAACTTCTATCCAAACTGGGAAAATTTTCAGATCACAAAAAAAAAACTTGAAAATAAAACTTTCAAAGGTAAATACAAGCAAATAAATATTGATTATTTAACGCAAAAACGAGCAAGTAATATTAAATCTCTTGTGTCGTATGCTAATGCTAATTGACTGTAACAAAAATAATATGCTTAAATAAAATAAAATATTAATAAAATGATATGCAAAATTTACTAGAAGATCATTACTTTATTAGTGAGAGGTTTGCTCAGTCTGCATGAAGCAGCCGATTTCATCAAGGAAGTTCTATTAACAACCAAGAATTAATCGTTTGAGGCATACTGAAGCATTAAGAAGGTGATATGTGTCACTATAGGAAATCATCATCGTTGCAAATATAAAGAAATTAAATATAACCCTTTGCTTCAGTATCGTCAACCTCCATGTCCATGGGGAGGGAGTATGCAATTTCAGCCTCAGCGTGCTATGTATGTATGTATGTAAAGGATACCACTCATTGCTGCAAGGCACAGCCATTAGACAGTGGATCATCCTCCAAGTATGACTTGATCAAGAACGATACCTGGTTGTATTCAATTTACCATTGTAAGAAGGGCCAAAAACGGAGGGGCGGACCCGTAAGCAGATACACTTACGCGCAATCCGCGGGATCAGGAGAATCGCCTTCCAATGATAAAATCCTACAACCCGATGTAGAACAAGCCATCATACGAGGGAACGTCCCAATGAGTGGGGAGAAGAGCCCGCCGTCAATTCACGAAATGTTAATGACAGGGAGTTGGCAATTCCACTCTCCCCATCCAAATCGCTTCAATCCGGTGCCCTGGTGGTCCCATCCCTCCCCTTTGCATTTAATGTGTGTATATATGTATATATTTATATCGGCATTACCCGTTCGATTTTGTCAACACAATTTTGCCTTCTTAGCTTTTCAAAATCTTTAATAAATGCAAATCTTATCATCTGACCTATTCCGCGAGTCGTGCGAATCTCCGCCACCAATGAGTCAACAAGAGTCACGCACTAGTGGGGTGACTCTCCGTGCAATCAAATGAAGAGTCACCTCACACGAGGCGACCATCGTCACCCTACTAGCGACAGAGAGCCATACTACTCGCAGAACAGGCCTGCAGGCAGAGATGCCAGGCTTATTTTGAAAAAAATCTGGCAAAACCGGAAAAAAAATGTCTGGCAAAAATCTGGCACAGCAAATTAACATAGGAAGCTGCCAGATTTCTCAAAAAATCTGTCTGGCAGAGCTTAAATTTCTCTGGCTGTGCCAGATAAATCTGGCAACCTGGCAACGCTGCCTGCAGGTGACGTTTAAAGCTCCACAATTTTACTGAAAATCTAAGAAAATTATTAAACAGAATTTAATAATATAACTGCAGAGCACAAGCAGTTCAAATATACTGAGAACGTGTTGCCAAAATCGAACGGATACTTTATATGTTTATTAATTTATCTTACCTTGATGGACCAACTACTTACCTGTCCTTAATGGCCATTAGCTCCAATCGGTATTTCCCGGTAAATCCGATCACGATCCTTTACAACATTTGGCCGACACCAACGCGCTTCATCGCAACCACTCAGCACTTTCTTCTTCTTCACTAAATTGAAGGGCTTCTAGGGAAACTATTTTCTTGCGGACCGCGTTGCGGTCGGACTTCACTGTTCTTCTCCTTCTTTTTCTCTTTTAACCCCTACTACGAGAAGATGAAACACCTATGTGGCACTCACTCTCCTACTATCGGTTGTCGCTGCATTAAAACCGCTGCCGCTATCTTTCACCGTTTTCTTTTTGCTTCTCTTTCTACTCTCTTCGTCTCACAGAATTTCACCACCGCTTTACTCTGTATTCCTTTAGGGTGCTCACTCACACACTACTGTTTGCCGCTATATTTTTGGCTTTTTTTTTCCCGCACTATCAGCTTCTTCTTTTCTTCCCCTTTCCTGCCTTCTCGCACTCGAAATTATCGCTACCGTTCGGCGTGGAATCCACAATTTCCACTCTTAAACGCAACTCCCCTTGCGCTCCCCTCGCACACATATGCACACTGGGCCTCCCCGCATAGACCCTTCGCCCCTTCAGCAGCAATCCTGCCAAAAGCAGTCTCAATCACGCTTTTTCTTTCTTCTTCTATCACCACCACCGATTGAAACCGTCACGCAAATTATAGCGCATCACCTGCGGATGTTAACCGCCACCTTATCTTCGTATCACTCCACCAATCCGCCTCCTAATCCGTATTATCGGACCAGCCTTCCGTCGAACACTTTCCTCGAACCAGCAACAGCCTGAACGCAGCAGCAAACAGCACACACGTCCGACTCAGTCGGTA